TTATATATAAATATAATATCCCCGCATTTGGATGTTAAAGAACAAGAGGTTTTAACTTGATCTTCATCTCTGAATATCTTTACTACATTGCATTTTCTTCAACAGGTATGTGATGGTTAACCTTAATCATCAACTTGACCTAGAATCACCTGGGAAACAAGACTCTACGGATTCCTGTAAGGGATTATCTTGATTAGGTTAATGGAGGTGATATAATATCCCCGCATTTGGATGTTAAAGAACAAGAGGTTTTAACTTGATCTTCATCTCTGAATATCTTTACTACATTGCATTTTCTTCAACAGGTATGTGATGGTTAACCTTAATCATCAACTTGACCTAGAATCACCTGGGAAACAAGACTCTACGGATTCCTGTAAGGGATTATCTTGATTAGGTTAATGGAGGTGTGACGACCCACCAGTGGTGGTGGTAGCACTGTCTGGACTGGGATTCTATCGCTGCATAAAAAGGAGAAAGAGAGCTGAGCACAGGCATTCACTGTGCTCTGCTCCTGATTGTAGATGCAATGTATGCAGCTGCTGCAAGCTCCTGCCACTATGACTTCCTCACCATGATGGACTATAGCCTCAAACACTGAACCAAAATAAACTTTTCCTTCTTAAGTTGACAAATTTGGAGTATTTTTTCACAGTAATATTTTAAACATTATGAAGTGATAACAATATATAAATTATACTATATCAAAGTATTTAGTAGAACATTATGCAATGACAGACCCTTGCTGTAATAAGCAGAACACAAAATGTTTATCAAAAAACTTCCTATTTTTCAGACTAGAGACCTAACAGAAAGACACAAAACAATTTTATGCTTCACTAACATTCATCAGTAAAAACGTATTTTCACTTAATAGAACTAAGAGATACTTTGAATATGACGTTAAAATCACCTGCTATATCATGTGTCAAAGGTTCATCAATTGTTTCCAGCAACTGAACAGAAGACTGCTGAAGGGAGTCGTCAGAGTCACCAGCTGTGGCACCTACATCGTCAGTCACTGTGCCTTCCTCCATGGCTTCTGCAGCTACTGGAGCTAACAATTCTCCTGCATTAAGGAGACAGTCCTAACCACTTTAATAATGTATACACTTATATTCCTCTTATTTAACAGACGAAGAAACACTGTTTTCCTGAGGTCACATGAAGAACTAGTAACCAGGACACTATTGGTGGAAATATAATGCAGATGCCTTCACTCAGAACACTTTACTCACCATCAACATAATTAAATACAAATGGAATTTCCTAAGTAAATGCAAAAGTAATTTAAATGGCTGCTAGTGCAACATTTATGCATTTAGGAATGATCCTCTTACAGTTTCTTTTAAAAGATTACTGAAATGACAAATGACATGCTAATTCTGACACACCTTAGAAAAAAAATGAATCCTTGACAAACCTGCTAAAATATCCTGCAGCATACAGGTTAAGGAATACTGAGCCCAAGCACCACCCCAAGATATATCTCCTCTATTGAAGTCAGTTCCAACCAAAAGTAACAGTAGTCTTTCCAGCTGCGGTTCATTGACAATCTCACACAGATGAATAGTCGGTCTCGTGGCATTTGCAATGCGTGCAAGAACCTGTAACACATTTAACATTTATCATGTGCTTAAATACCAGTCATTTATTTTTTCTTAAAAAGACTAAAAGAGCTGGGCGTGGTGGCACACGCCTTTAATCTCAGCACTCAGGAGGTAGAGGCAGGCAGATCTCTGTGAGTTCAAGGCCAGTCTGGTCTACATAGTGAGTTCCAGGACGAACAAACTTAAGAGTTCTTTAAAAGACTAACTGAAAAAAAAAAAAAAAAAAAAAAAAGACTAACAGAAATGTATCAATATGTAGTACTGATATGATAGCTTCCAGTGTTGATGTATAATTTTCTATCAATTTACAAAAATGAAATAAAAAATGAAACCTCAAGGATTATTAGATCTGGTCTTGAATATGGATCAATACTTAACTTCTAGGGGCAAAAGAAATGGCTCAATGGTTAAGAACGCTGACTATTCTTGAAGAACATCTGGGTTTGAATCCCAGCACCCACATGGCAGCTAACAACTGTCTAAACTCCAGTTCCAGGGGATCCAACAGCTTCTTCTGTCCTCCACTGGCATTGCATGACATGGGTGCTTTTATCTATATGCAGGCCTAACACTCACACATAAAATGTTTTTTTAAAAAAAGAGTATCTTCTAGAAACTATGAATGTACTATACAAAAGTAATCATGATTCAGTAAAATCATTTGATACTTATATTATTTATTCCTATATGCATACCCTAGTAAATTACCCAAGTTTTAATTAAATTAAAATTTAGTTTTATCAGGAATTAAAAGAAGCATTTTTTTAATCTTTGAAGGCACAATAACACAAGTTAAATTAATTACAAAGCAAACACACACACACATACAAACCCCCCTTTTTCCTTATTCCAAAATCACCAAAAACAGTATCTAACTTACCTTACAAACAAATAATAAGAGATCTGCATGACATGTAAAATCCATGGAGAGGAGGAAAAGAACAAGTTTTTGCACTACTGAAATACAACGTTCATGGGCCAGAGTAAATGGAAGAGGTTCTATCTCAGGACTTTCTTTTGTTGTTGTAACTTCAGTGTCTAAATTAGAACGAGACCATTCTGCCGTCCGCCGCAAGCGAATCAAATCCTTAAAATGCTGAATACAGAAATTTACATGATTTAAAGCATTTTTTATGTAATCAAAAATTCTTGGTACGTACTTTTATGGAATGCAAATATTCAACATACAACTTCTAATGTACAAAATCTTCACATAAAACATGGCAGAGGTAGGTGAATCTCTTTTGAGTTCGAGGCCAGCCTGGTCTACATAGTGAGTTCCAGACCAGCTGGGACTACAGGGAGACCCCTGTCTCAAAAAGACCAAAAAATAAAATAAAATAAGATAAAAAGCTTCAAAAAGAATATCATGATTTTATTTATTTTTTTGGTCTTTTTGAGACAGGTTCTCCCTGTAGCACCAGCTGTCCTGGAGCTCACTATGTAGACCAGGCTGGCCTTGAACTCACAGAGATCCACATGCCTCTGCCTCCCAAGTGCTGGGATTAAAGGCGTGCGCCATCACACCTTTTTTTTTTTTAAATGGTGTCTTATTAAATGGTGTTTTATGTGGCATCAAACTCCCTACCTTGAAAACCTGATCTTCTTGCATCTGCCAGATGTTGGCATGAGCCATCACATCCACCTAAAGGCTAAGATTATTAAAAGCTATGCATAAGTTGGGCTGAAGAGATGGCTCAGGTAGTTAAGAGCACTGACTGCTCTTGCAGAGGACCCAGGTTTGATTCCCAGCACCCACATGGTGGCTGCAAACCATCCTTAACTCCAGTTCCAAGGGAATCCAAAGCCCTCTTCTCACCTCTGTGGCATTGCACGACACGGGTGCACTCACTTACATGCAGGCAATATACACATAAAATAAAAATAAATATTTTTTAAAAAGCTAGCATAAGTTATCTTCAATTTAAAGTGTATGACATGCAACAAATTTCATAAAAGCAAATTTTACAAAAAATGATTTTAAAGAAAGGATTAAATCAAATGTAACAGCTCAAACAAATGCCACCAAAACTTACTAAGAAGAATTTATATGGGACTGATGAAAATTGTAAAAATCAAAAGTAAGCTGGGCATGGTAGCACACCACCTTTAATCCCAACATTCAGAAAACAGAGAAAGGTGGATCTGTAAGATCCAGTCTGGTTTACATACTGAGTTTTCAGTCCAGCTGAGGTTATAGGCTCAAAAATAAATAAATAAAAATAAATAAATAAATAAATAAATAAATAAATAAATGAAAAATGGATTTCAGCCAGGTGTGATAGCACATACCTGTAGTTCCAGCACTTGGTAGGCAGAGGCAGACAGATCTCTGTGAGTTCAAGACCTGCCTGGTCTACATAGTGAGTTACAGGCCAGTTGGGGCTAAAGGGAGACCCTGTCTCAAAGAGACCAAAAAAAAGGGGGAGGGGATTTCAAATACAAAATGCTAATTCGAATTAGTTCAATATTTAAGGCAATATAACTTCATATCCATAGATATACTCAGACTTGTGATCTACTTGCCTCAGCCTCCTAAATGCTGGGATTATAGGCATATACCATGCAATGAAACATTTAATATTGTATTTAAAAATCACTGGAAACCCATTTTGACTAGGAAGACATTCGGGTTTTTAGAATTGTGTACAACTAGTTCCAAGAGAAATGTTAATTTCAAATCTAAATCGTCCAACAAGGTAGTGAAATGGAAATACTATCAATTCACTTTACAAATTACTTTTATTTATAAGGCTAAGTAAATGGTACTTATAGTCATTTTATTAATTTAATTTTATTTTAAAATAGCTTTTATTGAAATTCTGTGCAACAGTTCTTAATCAAATTTAGAACCCCTCACCAATCCATACACCCCCATACGTCCCACCCCCACCAGACTTCATTCATGCATTCTGTCGTATATGTTGTCATTTCTGGTCAAACATTTGTACCCAGATGTCCTTCGCTGAAAGTTCATCCACTGGCGCATAGTCAGCCTATCTAGAGATCTTAAAGACTATCGACTCTCTCTCACCCAGCAGTAATCAGCACCCATTACTTGCTGCCGCCCATTTACCTCATTTTATTTGTGTACTGTAGCATGAAAACAATAAACAGAATCATCTGGAACCATGAGCTAAATGAGATAGCCAAAACTGCACAGTAATTATTTCATCTTCACTCTCCTGAACCTCAATCCATTTTAAAGGTAACGTACTAGGCAGTGAAGTCCACTTTTACCTTTCCTTGAATATAATGACCTTTTTTTTTTTGGTCTTTTTGAGACAGGGTCTCTCTGTAGCCCCAGGTGTCCTGGAACTCACTATTAGACCATGCTGGTCTTGAACTCACAGAGATCCACCCGCCTCTGCCTCCCGAGTGCTGGGATTAAAGGCGTGCGCCACCACACCTGGCTGAGTATATAATCACATGTATTTAATTTCCCAATCATTATTAAAGATACTTAACTACTCAAATAATTTGAAAATATGAAGAAAAGTGAGGACTATAAAGTAATTACATTAAAAAGTACTAATCAGAGGCAGGAGAGATAGCTCAGCAGTTAAGAGCACCAGCTGCTTGTGCAGAGGATTTGGGTTCAGTTCCCAGCACCTACATGGTGGTTCACAACCATCAGTAACTCATTTCAGGGCATCTGGCACCCTCTTGTGGCCTCTGCTGGCACCAGGAACACACTTCCTGCATGCACATATATGCATTCAGACAAAACACTTGCACATATAAAATAATAATGAATATATCTTTAAAACGAAAAGGAAGTCCAGATCCTACCTTTGAAGTAGCCTGTTTTAGCTTTGCTTGCTCTACCAAGAGTTTATATGATGATCCTTTATTACTCTGTATTTTTTCTTTTTCCATCTGTTCCACCAAAGCCTTCTGTTTTGCCTTTAGTAGGTTAAGTTGCTTAAAATACAAATAAACAACTTAATCTTAAAAATAACAATGTTAAAAACAAAAATGTAAATTACACTCCACTCAAAAATCACTCTTCAAATTAGAAACTAATTTCTTGAACAATTCAGTTCAAGATTTTTTAAAAGAAAAGAATAAGTCGGGCGTGGTGGTGCATGCCTTTAATCCCAGCACTTGGAGACAGAAGCAGGTGGATCTCTGCGTTCAAGGCCAGCCTCATCTACATAGTGAATTCAGGCCAGCTGGGACTAAAGGGAGACCCTGTCTCAAAAAGACCAAAAAATAAAAAATAAGAAGAAAAGAAAAAAAAACATTATTTTCAAATCCTGGCTGCAAAATCTCTCCAGGTCATCATTTAGAATTAATCAGTTCCTCACATACTAAGAAAAAGCAGGTACCTGGAAGACTTTCTTATACAAGGCAATAAATAAATTTACTGATTTTGCTAATAGTGAAAAAGAATTGCTTTTTCTAGGCTTCAAGTCTGAGCCTGCAAATACTCCTACAACTTCCCAGAGTCCTGGATAATGACTGAGAGACAAACCACACAGGAAGCAAGTTATGGGAATTTACCTCTGTAGTAGTAAATACTTTTGATATGTCTTTAACTTTTTACTGCCACTTTTAAAATTGTGTGTTTATCGCCACTTTACACAGGTGGAGATAAGGGGACAACTTCATGGAGTTGGTTCTCTCCTTTACCTTTGCATGGGTTCCAAAACTCATTGTACTTTTGTAGCAAGCACTTTTACTCACTGAGCCATCTCACTAGTCCCACTTTTCTTTTTAAATACACACACGTAGACTCATGTGGTTTTAAGAAATAATAGAGATCTTTTGTAGACCTCACTAAATTTCTCCTAATGATGATATTCTGCAAAATTATGGCAATAAAATTTACTAAGTGTACTCGTATTTGAGATTCACCTGTACTCAATTTGTGTTCAGTTATATATAATTATCCATATTAGTTCACATATCAATATCAATACTCAACAGCACCAATAAGATTTCAAAATGTTACACTTTTCTAACTATAACCATTTTCCATATCTCCAAATCCTGCAATCAATAGTCCGTATCAAGAACAAATAGAAGGGAAGAAAATAATTTCTGTCAAAAAGATCTAACAATCTATTGACCAGCCTCCCATAATTCAACCATATGTGCACAAAATTACTTTGAACAAAAATACGCTAGAAAGATATAAATACTTTAAAATAGAAGGGTTATTTTGTATGTAAAAACATTTCACTGGAGGTAAGATTGAAAGTGATATGGAGTAAGGAAGAAGCAAGGCAAGAAGCACTTTTAAACAGACAAAAGAAATTACTTAGACTAGCAGAGATGGAAAGAGTTTAAAGAATATAACCAAAAACACGCATACTAGGTATTTTTGTCATTTTACCAGTTAGTTTGCCAAAGTGGTAACCAATCAACCTAAGCACCTTGCAAAATGTCGATCTAAGACTGGCTGACACATCCAATTTATGAGTCATTCCAAATGACAGTCTCCAAAACTAAATAGCAAGTTTGATGACCATTACCTGCTTATGATGAACAAGCTGCTTTCTGATTTTCCTGGAATATAATCTGTCAAGGCTACTACTTCCCTTGGAAGATCTATTTAAGCTCTGCGTGTGCAGATTATTGTTAATAAAACTCCACTGGTTACCTAGGAAGGAAAGTTTTTATTAATGATTCTGTTAAGAAATAAGACTTTGAAGTAATTCCCATAGCCAAAACACACAAATCACAATAAAAAATACACCAATCATGAAAGAGCAATTTTAAATAAAACCAATATAAAGAAACTGAGCGCTAAGTCTGGAAAGGCTGAACAACTTTCAGTATTCTAACCTCGGCTCAGTCTAGTCCAGAGCCACACTTTTCTCTGACTCTTTGGATTTTTGTTGGTGTTGTTTGAGACAGGATCTCACTATGTAGCTCTGGTTGGCCTTTAATGCAGAGACAGTTGCCTCTGCCTCTGCCAGAGGATTGAAGGCATGTACCACCACACTTAACTCCTCTTCTGATTCTTTATGAATAGTTTAAAACATGTTTTCCTCTTCTTGACCACTCAATAATTGTTAGTTCAAAATCTTCCCATCCTTCCTCGCCCCCCAAAACACTAAAATACAATTTGCTGTATTATTTAATTGTGTTGCTTCCCCCTTTATCCTATAACTGAGTTCACACATACACACATTTTTTGATATGAATATAATGCAAATTCTGTGTAATTGAGAATTCTTTCACATTCCAAAACTTAATATACTAACAATGTATAAATTTTAAGAACTGTAGTGGTTAATTTAGGTTAGGTTCTGCTACTTCAAATTATAATACCATTATTATATATATGGTATATATATTGTTATATGTTAATATAACAATATAATTAAGGATTATAATTATAAGGGCAAGAAAGCATAGTCTTAAATGTTAGATTTCTTTTAATTTTAAAACTCTTGTGCCATGGGGCTGGAGAGATGGCTCAGTGGTTAAGAACATTGGTTGTTCTTGCAGAAGACCAGGGTTCAAATCCCAGCACCCACATGGCAGGTAACAACTGTCCATAAGTCCAGTTCCAGGGGATCTGACAGCCTCTTCTGTCCTCCGTGGGCATTGCACGATACGGGTACACTTACCTATACGCAGGCAACACACACATACACATAAAAACTAAAAATATATAAAGAAAAAATATAAAACTCTTGTGCCCCAAACTGAAGATTTTTTTTTAAATCTAAAAATTTCCATATCTAAGCATAAAAGCCACTTGTAGTTAATTAACAGAACGGGACTGAATAAATTTTTTTTTTAAAGTCACAAATTTTCTTGACATAAACTCACTTCCACCTAGGTTATTAGAAAGTATTAAAGAAAGGATGCGGGGCGAAACACAAGACTGCAATTAAAATAAAAATTATATCCAGACAAAGGAGTTTGTCCATCAAATATAAATTCTCTTTCAAAAGATTCCTGAACAGAGTCAACTCATATTTTACACAAATTACATACATCTGGTATCTCCAGGCCAATAGCCAGTTCAGGAACAAATGCAGAGTCACTGAAAATCCCCACCAACATACTATTATAAACTTCTGATACCTGTCAGAAACCTCTCCCTGTCTTTACCATTCAAAGGTTTCTTTGCAGCTGCTGCTTCATCTTCAACAGTTGCCACATAATCCAGCAATCTGGACACCAGCATAACAACCCAACTGATCATGGGGATATCTAAGACACCTAAATAGAGACAACAGGGGAAAATTCAAGTAAACACGGGTGCTAATGAGAACTGATAACACAACTGAGATAACATTTGACAAATTAAGAGCATGCCACTTAACGATCAACGCCCAAATAATGGAATATGCCTTAAAATTACACACTTATGTGTAATTAAACACTGAACCTAATGAAGGACAGTACTGGGAAAAAAAGATAAAAGACTCACAGAGAACCAAAATAAAAAAACATGTAACTCGTCTTACAATTCATACTATCAAGCATGTTCTAAAGCTGCTATTTCTAAAATATTTCTTGCTCAAATAAAGCTACCATGGGCCAAGATAGGCATGTGCTTTAAAGTTTAAACTTAATATGGAAGTCTGGTTTTAGTTAAAGCAGTGTAGAAAAACATGTGCCACAAAATTTCAGTAAAGGATGGAGAGACGCAGTGGTTAAGAGCACTGGCTGCTCTTGCAGAGGCCCTGTGTTCGATTCCTAGCACCCACCTGAGAGCCAAGAACTGTCTGAAACTCTAGCTCCAGGGAAATCCTCGGGCATTGCATGACACAGAAGCACTTACAGACATGTAGGCAATACATTCATACACATAAAATAAAATAAAAAAAATTTTAAAGTTCAGCACTTTGAGGGTTAAGACATGTGGATGTATCTAAATTTGAGATCAACTTTGTATTACATAGTAAGTTCCAGGCCAGCCAGACTAGACCCTGTTTCCAAAACAAAAATTCAAATTTTAGAATTTAAGTAATGAGTTAAAAGGCATACAGTATGCCAAGCGTGGTGGCGCACCCCTTTAATCCCAGCACTTGGGAGGCAGAAGCAGGCAGATCTCTGTGAGTTCGAGGCCAGCCTGGTCTACATAGTGAGTTCCAGGACACCTGGGGCTATAGGGAGACCCTGTCTCAAAAAGACAAAAAAAAAAAGGCATAGGGCAGTAAATCACAACAAAGTTATTCACTCTAAAAAGTCTACATTAAAAAAATTAATAAAATATGCTACAATGAATAATAAAGTATATCATATTTCATACACACAGTATTTATGTTCACTATAAACACACTAAAGAAAGTTGCTTTTTATTAATACCTTCTGTCCTCCTATGCATGAGCAACTCTGGCTGAAGAGGTGACAATAAGTTATCCAAGAGATTAAGTAAGCTTTCCAATACTCCACTATTACTAAGTGATCTCTGACCAATGCAGGAAAGTAACATAAAGACCCTAAAAAACAAATATGAGGAAAATGCCATGAGAATAAACTTTTTAGATTCATATTAAAATTCATTAGACTAAGTGTTTGCATATTAAAACATATATTTTAGATTCAGAAAGGAAGACTTAAATGAAGAAATATCATTTAAATTTTGAGTTCCTTTGTTAGTTACTGGCTGTATTTTCTAATGTTATACACAAGAAATCGGATACTTAGTAAAAAATAAAGAAACTTTAGCAGAGCCTCAAATATCACATTTAAAGCAGGATATGGAGGTGCACACCTTTAGTCACAGCACTCTGGAGGCAGAGGCAGGCAGATCTCTGTGAGTTCCAGGCCATGATATTACATCAAACCACAACAAAAAAAAAAAAAAAAAAAAAAAAAAAAAAAAAAAAAAAATCACATTTAATACACAAGGCATAGCACTATCTAATACATTTATAGTCTCTATAGGTTGAATGAGAAAACCAAAGAGGGGGATCCAATTGTAGTATGTATTAGAAACCAATACATTAGAGCTCATCGCCTTCACCAAGTATTTCCAAAAATCATGAGAAGACCTACTTCTCCATATTTAGTAACCATGTAAAAAAAGATTTCATAACCTAACCAATGACTATAAGAAGTAAAAACATTTACGATAAACACCACCAACATTTTCTGACCTACCTATCCTGTGGAAAGATAAGAAGCTGCTCTGAATTGTACAGTTCCTGAAGAACATTAGAAAGAAACTGGCCCCACCATCTTTCACCACCACACAATTGAACAAGGAGCAGACCAGTATGTAACCGTATCTTTGGGGTTCCACTGATGCACAAGTGTTTAAAGAGCTCTTCACAGGCCTGAGCATGAAATGTACTCTGCAAAACTGCAGGAACAGAATGTCCTGTTAGAAGAAAGAATAAATAAAATTTCATATTTAAAAGTATGATGTTACATAAAAATTAGTATACCTACATGAATGCTTTTCCTTGACCAGTAATCAGTAGACATTTACATTCTATTTATTTTGGAACTTATTTACTGCTCGTATGTAGACCTCAATTGTCAAACACTTAGCAAAGAGAAGAGATACCACCTACATTAATGTTTCTTGTTTTTGTAGCTGAGTTTATCAGATTGCCTTGCAAGTGACTATGGCAGTAGTTGTAAATGAGACAAATATCAAATATACAGAGAGGGTATGTAAATATGAATGACTCAAAAAGAAATCCTGCTGGAAAAAAAAACATTTCTATATTAGGCTAGCAATTTATTAAAAAACAAAAAACTTTTCATAATTCTACTTTTATGCAATGCTTAACATTTTGCCATTGACACACTGATGTACACATTCATACTACAAACCTAAGAAACTCCATAAATATCCATTTAAAAAATTAGAATAGGGGCTGGAGAGGGCTCAGCAGTTAAGAGCAGTTGGCTGCTCTTGCAGAGGACCTAGGTTCAGTTCCCAGCACCTACATGGCAGCAAAAAATCATCCATATCTCCAGTTCCAGGTAATCTGACACCCTCTTCAGACCTTCATGAGCACTGTATGACATGACCTGTAGGCCATACACTCATACAAGTAAAATTAAAATAATAAAATATTTTTTAAAATTAGAATAAAGGAGGAAGTACTCAGAGAAACACACTTGAC